CCACCCGCCCACACCCACACCCACACCCACTCCCAGACCCACACCCACACCCACACTCACACTCACACCCACACCCACACTCACACTCACACCCACACCCACACCCACACCCTTCGTGTGGTATTCTCGAGTGCAAGTGTATTTGTGCTGAATCGGACGCTACTTGGGACGATTTAATCTTCATTCGTGAAAATTTTGGTCTTGAAAGGTATGCTGGTGACTTTCGCCTACGACGAACTCACCCTTATTTTTATCAACTGATTACTCTTCTCAATATTCTCGATTTATCCTGGATCGATATTTGCATATTGAAAGGAGACGATTTTTACGTTGAACGACTTACAAATGATGAAGTAACCTGGTCCACCATTAAAAAAAACTTACAACATTCTACTTCAGTTACCTTCTACCTCAAATTATGAAAAATCTCTAACGACTTTATTATTTTCTTCTTATTTGTGTTGTATTTTTTCTCTGCTCGTTTTTTTTTGTTCTGTTCTTATTTTTGTTTCGTTTTTTCTTCTAATCAAGTATTTATCTCAATAAAATTTATTGATTACTGTATAACACTTTATATTTAATCAGTCGACATAATCTAAAGTAGATGTTTTTTTCATAACTGTGTGAAAAACTATCTACAAGTTGTTATATATAAAAATGGTGGAGCCCATTAGGCTTGGGTAGACTCAACCGACCACGTAATATTCATACACCTTCTCGTGATTGCTATGTTTAACATAAGGAATCGTATGAAAAGGAAACGAAATGATATTAAGAAAAAACGATCAAAGAAAATAAGCCGCCCTTAGCAACAAACGACACAAATTGATCTATTTTTTTTATTGGCTAGAGGCTTATAAGTGAATTCGGAATAACCATCATTCAATATCATGAACGTGCTATTAGTTTATGTTGTGAAGTTTTATCAGAAAACCATCAAGATCTAGCTGCTCGCTATGTAGATTATGGTGCTACATTAAGAGAACAACGAAAATTCGATAGAGCTGGCGATGTCTTTGAGAAAGCAAAAGCAATATATGAGAATCAAGACGCTAATACCCTTCCATTAGATCATCCACGTTATGCTGCATGCTACAGTAATATGGTCAAGTTGTATTGTGATAAAGGTGATTTTAATCAAGCATTTGAATTTTCAACTAAAGAGCTTCATATTCGACAAACCTATTTATGTTCTTATCATCCACTAATTACTACCAGCTTACATAATCTGGGCACTATACGTCATAGACAGGGTCAATATTATCGCGCTTTTGATTTCTATAAGAGAGCACAAGCTCTAGTTGAAGGAGCCACACCACAAAATCAAAATGCTATCTCTTCTGTTTATGATAGCTTAGCGAGCTTGTATTTTGACAAAGCTGAATACAAATTAGCTCTAGAGTATTATACGAAGTGTTTAAATATTCGGAAACAAATATTAGATGAAACACATCCAACCATTGCTAGAAGTGAAATGCAACTTGGAAGAGTTCATGCACATTTACAAAACTATAAAGATGCTCTTGAGTATTATAATCGAGCTTTGCAAAACAATGGTAACATAGGCGAAGTTTATATTAATCTCGGAAATCCTTATTCATTTCAAAATGAACATACAACTGCAATGGATTATTATGAAAAAGCTTTGACTTATTATAAAGAAACATATGGCACTGATCATTCATACACAGCTATGGCTTATTCTAAAATTGGTGATACTTTTTATTTGCTCGACAATTATGATAAATCAATAAATCATTACATGCTGGCTTTGTAAATTATTCAGGAAGTTTATTCAGAAAATCATAGAGAGGTTTCTGTTACACTTAATAAGGTTGCTGATGTTCTTGTCGATGTAGGCCAGTTCTGCGCCGCTCTTGGTCTTTATATGCGAGCACTCGAAATCTACCGAGAACACTTCAGTGAAAGACATCCACAAGTATTGACAAGTCGTGAAAATATAGCCCATTGCTACCAAGCGATGGCGAGGGCTTTTGTTGAGAAAAAATATTGGCAAGATGCTCTCAATCTTTGTCAAGCAGCTTTCGAGATTTACGAAGATGTGCTAACTTCTGATTCAGCGGAGAGAGAATCAACATTAGAAACATTGAAAAAAGACATGAATCAATTGCGTGAACTGATTACATCGAATACGCGAGACAACATATCAGAATGAATAATATAACGGCCACATAGTTCATTGACATATGACTCCTAATAGTTTCTGTGCTTTAAAAATGATGCATGAAAATCACAGAAAGTATATCCACTTCAAGATGAATCTTTTCGAAAAAAAGGTTTTGTCGTTTTTTTTTACATAATTGTTAGCGGTGATTCATCCTCATTCCTACCCCTTGATGTTTTTCCATCTCTCTTCCTATATTCTTCATTGTTGTTATTATTGTCTCTCCTTCTTTTCTTTTCTCTTCTCTCTTTATTTGTATTGCGTAATGTATATCTACGTGATCAAGGACAAGTTTTATAGATATACACACATATTTTGTAATAAAATAACTTAAGCTCGTCGAAACAAGCTAGCTAACAATAATAGTAAATGAAAATCGGAATTCAAAATGTTCGCATGAATTGATTGAAAATTACTAATTCAAATTTATTCTTTCTATGTATTTAGTTACAATGGCAACGAAAATATTTTGACAATGTTACTTCATCGGAAAATATTGTACGGTAAACGTCGTATATATGACGTGTGATATTGAACGATTTAATTTCATTGAGTATGCGTTTTATAGTATCATGCTGTAACAGTCTTTTATACTTTCGTAGAGATTCAATTTTCTTGCAATTTTTTTTCTAGATTCATAAACCAAATTGGATTTTAAGTAAAATTCACTTGTCGCATATGCAAACGATGTTGAAATATTACACAGTTCAGCTCACTCTCTAACGTTTTTGGTAAACCTTGTTAAAAAACAATTACAAGAGTTTTATGACAGAAATTCCAATACAAATAAACCCCAAATAAGATCATACATTAGCTATTCGATTTTTGTGAAACACGATCTGAAAGGAGTGTTGAAGTGTTTAGGGGGTAGAAATTTGGACCCCCCCCCCCCCCCCCCCCCCCCCCGCCGCCCCCACTCCGCGCCGCGGGCCGGGG